TGTTTCTGGTGATAAATTTAGCGTGAGTGTGTTAGATATCAGCGTTGTTAATTAATTCTGATGTTGCACAGGTGTACACGAGACCAGGACAACGGCCTCGTGGGGTCATGCGGCCCCCCTCCCTCCCCCCCTCACTAACAGCGCCCCCCCCGCCCACCCCGTGGCCTCACTGACAGCGTGGCCCCGGCCCACCTCTCCCGCGCCACCCACCCTCTCCAGGTGCCGCCTACCCACCCAGGACGCACCCTCTCAGGGTTCATGACTGCCCTATCAAACCCCTGGCGCCACGTAGATCAGGGAGGTGGGTGGAAACTTGACGAAGAGCTGGAGCCTAGCGTGGCCGAACTGCTCGGGCTCAGGAGATGAAGCGGCACTGCGCCCTCAGGACCCCTACCAGCCCCGCTTCTAACCTGCGTCTGGTGCAGTGGCTGGGGTCGCAAGCCGGGCGGCCAGGCCGCACCCCAGTCTGCTGAGCACCATGCCAAGGTGCACTATGTCCTGCGGCCGGAAGCGCCTCCCCACGACACCAAAACGGCCCGGAAAAGATTCGCCGACATGTTCGTCCGCCGCTCACAAAGGCGGGCCTGGGAGGAAGGCGCAGGACGTTGTATGTAGCGGCAGCAGGAGAGCGGGTATCTTTTCCTCTCCTAATATATCCGCACAGCACAACCCTACTGCTCACCCACCGTCGCCTCGTCAACCCACCCGGGTTGATGCGGCGCTCTCTAGCACACGTCTCCCCAGCGTGCGCCCTCTAACCAGACCTCGCATGTCGCTCCCAGCAGACCATCTTAGAACGTACCCTCGAATGGTCCGGTTCTCGGGTCAAGCCGCGGAGCGACGAAGACGACTGTCAAGAGGGGAAAACCCATCAGTCAGGATGAAGGCTACCCTCCAGGCGCCGCCACAGACACGAACCACACGGCCTCAAGAAACCAACTGCAGCAGGTCGCCGAGAACACTACCGCTGGTGACCGAGCGCCGCGAAGAATGTCCCGACCTGGGATCGTCGAAGCCGAGAAGAGAGCACGGGGGCTGAGAGATGGATTCGAGGAGGAGAGCCTGTGGGAAGTTCAGTCCCACCTCTAGTGCCTGAAGAGAGACGTGACTTCCGTGGGTCCAGACCAGACAGCCACCACACACGACCCTTCTTGCTGAGTGGGCCATCTCTTGGGGAACCAACTGAGGTTTCGGCCATGTTCTTCGCGCGGCTCCACCACCAACAAATACAAGTATGTTTAGTACAATCGCAGAGAGGTGATCTATATAACAATGCAAGACAAGCCACACGGCGGATGAAAATCTTAGTTCAAATCTTTCACACGGCCCGTGTTTTCATCAGCGAGCTATGCAATGTTTGTAATGAGGCAACAACAGGTAACTAGGGGAATTTTCTCAAGGAAATGTAGAGTGTTGACTACTGGCCATATCAACACGCTAACGTTTCCAAGGAGAAACCTTTCCATAAATTTACGCTGTTGCTTATGCTCTTGCAACATTGCATAGGGCTCCTGATGACCTCACAACAGTATAAAAACATCTTGAACTGGAGGATTGCTCATGCCCCCGTGTGGCCCCCCTTTTTCTTGTCATACAGTTATGCATTATGACACTCTCCTAGGACTGACACCTACGTTTTATTTACTCACACTCAGAGTCAAACCAGATATGTCCTCGAACACAATACGTGACACAATACCTAGCGGAACATCTTCACAACTAATCCACAAAACTGAAATAAAGAAAACTGGAGGACAATTCAGTCCATCTTTGCCCATTGCCAAGTTTCTGAGTGAATATCAAAACTAATTTTCTGGGACTAACGAAACGTACAGTTTCCCCCATTTCCAATTTAATATGGGTTATGGTTACGGAGTACAAGCTTTAATTACACCACTGGCTAAATTTGCCGATGTCATACCCATGACTAACTCAGGAACCTTTACCCATATTTCCGCACTAGGGGTCGTTGGCACGGGTAGACTCATGATACCAACGTTTGATGGCTCCGACCCAACCACGGCGCGCCCGGGTCTGGGCAGCTGGTGTCGGCAGTTCTGTCGATGAACCGTCAGCGAGAACATTGGCTTGTTCATGGGCCGTGCAATGTTGCCGCCAACCTGGCCATCGTGACGCGCCGAGTGGCGGCGAGCGCATGTCCCTGCACCAACACAACACACGCACCTCCAGGAGGGATCCATACCATACCCATCCCGGGTCAACATTGCTCGCCAGGTGCGATTAACCCAAAACTTATGTGACTAAGTTGTACGACCTGGGTCCCTAAAGCTGGCCGGATTTCTTAAAACCGGGAGGACCCAGCCTCCAAGCCTCCATTATTCCTTGCACTGAATAACCAACTAGGTTTACTGCTTCATATATATCTACATCTTTCCACAAGAAAACCGTCATTGAGAGGATTCTCTGTAGGTGATAATGGACCCAGCCGCCTTACTACTCACGGCCACCAGCATGTGGAGAGGACTTCTGTTGAGACGTTTATCTTCCATCTGGCAGGTCGAGGGAATTTTATTATGTAATTCAATATTATTAGCACTATTTAACAGACTGTGGAGTGTACTTAAATAGCTCTATTTAAATAATCTTGTGTTTACTGAAGCCTTGTGTGGAAGATTAGAGAGACTTGGGGAGGGATAAATTTTTTTACGTGCGCTTAGGCCACGCTTTAGGTTCAATACCTGTGCGCTCCGAGAAGGAGATGTGAGTGTATGGAGCCGGGCCTGTGGTGTTGGGTCTTATGGGTATTGAACATAGTATGTACGACATAGTATGGTAATGTACATAATGGCAGGACGAGGAGTGATACTCACATCCTGAGTAGCTCTAATTAATGACCAGAGGACCAGTCTCCACTACTCCCCATTACTTCACAAAATACCGAGTACAAGAGAGCAGCGGGCAAGGAGTCACGAGAGGAGTCAAGTTGAACTCTTTAGTACCTACATCCACGGAAGGATCTAATCTGACCCCTATTCCCTAGCCATTTTAAAACTTTTTCCCAAAGCACTTTCCTTTCAGGTTGAGAGTAAGAATAACCGTTGGCTATAAGCCCTGAATAAGGCGTAATAATGCATTATTTCAAATGCTTTATAAATTTTCTTTTTCTTTTACGGGCATGCCTGCTTAGGGTGGGGATGCGGCTGCTGGGCGTTACAATATATAGGCACTGATATATTTTAGACGCACGCGACCATTTAATAGAGAGATAAAATAAGTCTGACGGAATTTGTTATTTTGGACATAATTTGTTTAGGCAACAGTAGCACATTAGGTACAATTATCATACATAGTGACATGTGGAAAATACTTAAGATTAACCCAAAAACGTCCTTTTCTTTTCGAGGTCATGAGTGGGATTCTGTATACTATTAGAATTTAAAAACTTACACTTTATTGCCGAAGTGGATGAGGTTATTTGTGCACCCCTTTTAACTATCCTATGTAATGCAAGTAGCTAGTTGTATCTGTGTACCCATAGACAGGCTACTGGACGGTGGTGTCTAGTTTATTGTGCGTTCCGTACCCATCCTGCGGACAGTAACCCGCGAGCGCAGGGATACATTTAAAAAAAATCTTACAGACACTCGGCCCCTAGCGCTCTATATTCTGCCTTCATTATATTTTAAACAACAGGTTGGCGCAAGCGTGATGCTCTCGTACCTGCACTCTTCGGGGGGATCATCCACTGGTGCCGCCTCAACTCCCGCAATACGTGTTCATGGAGAGCTAAGATCAAGCTAGTCCTCTGGACCACCGCATGGCAGAGTCCTGGACTGCAGGAGAGCACACAGGCTGTCTAGCCTTCAGGGTCTACTTTGAGGCTATCTTCCTTCCGGAGGTTAGAACCCAATGTCTCCTGAGTGAAGGTTCTGCTTGGCTTTCCCCTCCCCCTCCCTCTTCTCTCGTCTCTCTCTTCTTTCAAGGGCAGTTTTTCGAAACAGGTATGATTGGCTTTGTCTACACTGCCTTTCTGGACTGAAAGTTGTCCTTCTATCCCGCACACTAGTTATGCATTTTGTTTTGATGGATGTACAGTGAAGGCATTTCATGGGAGGTAGCTTAACATGGCAGTATCGTACCTAAGTGGTGGGTAGTTAACATGACAATTAGTAACCCTCAGTGGTGATATTTAATCATTGCAAGTAGGTACCTTCAGTGTAGGTAGCTTAATTAACCTGGCAGTAGGAACTTTCATCGTAATATTTCAGTCTGCTGAGTACTCTTCAGTGGTAGCGTGCTTCTGTGATGATACTGTCCACTTAGAATGGTAGTTAAATACCACAGTGGAAGATACCGAAATCCCTAATCACTTCAACTCTACAAATACAACGTATATACTTTGCGCTGACATCTTGCACGACCAGTAACATCCTGGCGCCCTGTGGCCACGACGTCCTAACAACGAACTTACTGTTCGAGCTCGCCTGAATTATTTCAGAGACCGGAGAGGCGACTAACGAGCGGGGACCGAGCCTTCCGCACTCCTTGGGGAGTGAACGCCTACGCAGGTCCTGTACTTTCCCACCAGTGTGTCTGCTGTGGCTCCTTTCTGGTTTGGCTGTTAAATGACCGAGAGAGTCAACGAGTATTTACAGCCCATGAAAGGTGTACATCAAGATAAAGATTACAGAGCGAGGAAAAAAACATTACCAATATTCCGTTTCTAATTGATGGGTTTCTGTTATGCGATTGCTTTCTAGAACGGTATTGGTGAATCTATAATTGTTTGCAGATAGAATTGGTGATTTGGTGTGAACTGTTCCAGACACGGTGTTTTGTGGTTGGTTGTGAATTGTTGGCCGACACGGTATGGTTTGTGGTCATGAAAATTGTGCCCAGCCACGGTTTTTTCTGAGTTGTTTGTAGCTTTGTCCAACACGGTACGGTAGACTTTTTTTATCTGTTATAATTGTTCGAAAATTCTACCCACGGTATAGCAACCCAACCCAAACGATCACTGAGATAGTTTGTGTTTGCAGATGATGCGGACCCTTGAGGTGGTACCTCCACACGTGACGGTCAAGGCATCGCCCACCCAGCAGTCAGACGTGTACATGTACGGCACTCTCCTTTATGAGCTGTTCGCCGAGGCCCCCCCCTTCACCATGCAGCACCCACACGCTGTCATCCTGCAGGTGGGCAGACGAAGACAGCCACCCACGGGAGACCTCCAGTGTACACAGAATCTGAAGGCAAGTCTTGAATGTATCTCGCTAGAGAGTTCCCAAGCGTTTTAATGTGCCGATTTAATATTATATAAATACTACTGTACACAGATAGCAATATATATATATATATATAATATATAATATATATATATATATATAAATATATATATAAATATATAATATAATATATATACATCTAGGTTTTTCCTCCTGTTTTCTAAATACTCTTGTCTTCTTTATTTCTTCTATTGTCCCATGGGCAGTGGAAAAAGAATCTTCCCTCCGTAAGCCATGCTGGCCGGTATGAGGCGACTAAAATGCCGGGAGCAATGGATAGTAACCCCTTCTCCTGTAGACATTTACTAAAAAAGAAAGAAAGAAAAACTTAATAAAACTGGGATGCTTGAAGGTGGCGTGGCGTAGTGGCGGATGACAAGAATCAGATGATTGCTGATGTTTAATGAATGAAAAGAAGTTGGATGTCCTGGCCTCAAAGCGAAACAAAGCTGAAGGGTCGGGAAGTTTCGGTGGGGGGAAATAAATGGGATTAAATCTAGAGTATCTGAAGAGTTAGAGGCTAAGGAAGGGGTAGCAATAAGTTGAAGGGTCATTACGGAAGGCGAAAAGAGAATATGGAAATGAGTAAATTCCCAGGAATATATGGGATTAAAGTAAAGGTTGGATGGCGAAAAGTGGGTCATAATAAGCATGTATACACCTGGAGAAGAGAGGAAATGTAGTGGAGAGCCAAGAGATTTGGGAGATTAAGTGACGTATAGGAGACCTTTAGAACCAAGTGAGAGAGTAATTGTGGTAGGAACCTGAATGCCAAAAGTAGGAGAAACTTTAGAGAGGGTGTGGTAGGTAAGTTTGGGTGGGCAGGTTTAAATGATAACTGGAGCCCTTTGAATGAACTTCGTATAGAAAGGGGTTTAGTTTATAGGTAATACAGATTTTAAGAACAAGAAGATTAAGTACTACAAGATATGATGTAGGGCGAAATGACAGTAGTTGTTGGATTATGTATTGGTAGATAAAATGAGCTGTTGGAGTAGACTTCAGGATGTACATGTTTTATAAGAGCAGGCCACAGATGTATCAATCACTTTTTTAGTTGTAGCTACAGTGAGAGTAAAAGGGAGATGGGATACACGAGAATAGACACAAGCAACGAAGAAGAAGGTGAAGGTTTATAAACTAAAAGAGGAGGCAGTTAGGAAAGATATAAACCCATAATTGAGAGGATAGATGGGCCTAATGAGAGCATAGGCAATGGGATCGAAGAGTGTATGGGGTATAGGTTATAAAAATGTAGTGTTTAGAGTGTTCCCAGAAGTTTGTGGTTACAGGAAAGGTGGGTGGCGGGAGGACAGAGGAGCAATTGGTGGAAAGATGAAGTAAAGAGAGTAGTAAGGGAGAAAAGGTATAGCATATGATAAGATTTTACCAAAGTAGCAGTGATGCCAGGAGGGAGAGTATATGGAGATAAAGAGAGGTTAAGAGATAGATGAAGGCAATGTCAAAAGAGCGCAAATGAGAAAGATGGGGTGAGATGTTATCAACAAATTTTGTGGGAAAATAAGAAAAAGTTTTGGAGTGCAGAATTATCACTGTTAAGGAAGAGCCTAGAGAACAAATGGATTTTCAGTATAAAAATTGGACGAGGAGGGTTTATTAAATGGAGATTAGAGGAATTGGGAGATGGAGTGAATCTTATTAGGAATAGTTAAAAGGTTGATGAAGATTGGGTAGCTTGATTTCATAGTATGGGGCAAAGGATGAATAACATCTTGTAGGAGAGATGAGGCAGAGCCAGTTGTGAGTGTGAGGGCAGTTCGTGAGGCGTCGGTACACAAAAATGACAAGGGGGACAGGCACGCTGGGATTGATGGGATAAAGACATAGAACCATGTTTAAAACAGGCAGGTTGGGCTAAAGTTTTGGAGTGGTTGGTGCTATTATTTAATAAATATGGAAGCGGGTACGCTACCCAGGGCTTGACAGAGAGCACCGCATAGTACCTTTGTATACACGCAAGGGACAAAAAGAGTGCAAAAATTATAGGAGGACATAATTCTGTTGAGTCTACCAGGTAACGTGTAGGGAGAGTTAATTATTGAAAGGAATTAAAAGTACACAGAAATAGGTAGCAGATGAACAAGGAGGCATTTAGGAAAGGTAGGGGTGTGTGGACCAGGTTTTACAGTGAACACATCTAATTGAACCGTATTTAGATAAGGGCAAAAGAGGTTTTTGTGGCATTTATGGATTTGGACAAAGGCGTATGACAGGGTGATAGGGGGGCAAATGTGGCCATGTGCAGGGTATGGTATAGGAAGGTACGTTACTGCAAGCAGTGAAGAGTTTCTAAACCGAAGCTAGTGAGGCTTCCAAGTAAGAGTATGTAAGGAAAGAGGGAGATTATTTCCTCCCATACGCGTAGCCTTAGACCAGAATTGGCGTGATGTCCCGTGGTTGTTTAATATATTTATAGATGGGGTTGTAAGAGAAGTAAATGCGAGGGTCTTGGGCAAGAGGCGTGGAGTTAAAAGATAAAGACTCACACATAAAGTGGGAGTTGTCACAGTTCTGCTCCTTTTGCTGATGACACTGTGGTCTCTTTGGGAGATTCTGAAGAGAAGCTTCAGCAGGTTGGTGGATAATTTGGTATGGTATGTAAACGAAGAAAATTAACAAGTGAATAACAGGATAGAGTAAGTGGTCGTATGATATAAAACAACAATGATTAGGTGCTGACACATTGGATATCAGATTGGAGGGAGAGAGTATGAGAGAGGTGCATGTAATCAGATATTTGGGAGTGGACGTGTCAGCGATGGTGTCTATGACAGAGGAGTGACTCATATAATTGATGAGTGGGAAAAGGGTGAGCGTGTGCCCTTAGGCGTCCAGTGGGAGACACAGACCTGTCCTTGGAGGCAAACCAGGGTAATGTCTAAGGGAGTATAGTATTTACACCAGACCAACGATCTTATAATGGGTGTGAAGCAATGGGTGATGAATGTTGCAGCGGGAGATGGCTGGAGGCAGTGGAGATATCAAGTCTGAGGGCAATTGTGGTGTGAAAATATAATGCCGAGCATTCGTAGTTTGGAAGTTAGGGAGGAGGTTCGGGATTGCCAAAACCTGTCTGTCCTGAGGGCTGCGGAAGGGTTGTTAGGTGGTTCGGACTGTAGAGAAATGAGCGAAACAGAATGACTTCCAGAGTGTCTCAGTCTGTTGTGGAAGGAAGAGGAGGGTAGGAGTCAGGCCTAGGAAAGGTTGGAGGGAGGGGTAAGGAGGGATTTGTGTGCAGGAGCTTGGACTTCCAGCGGCATGCGTGAGCGAGTTTTTGATACGAGTGAATGGAGACAATAATTTTTACTACTTGACGTGCTGTTGGTGTGTGAGGAAAGTAACATTTATGAAGGGATTCAGGGAAACCGGCAGGCCGGACTTGAGTCCTGGAGATTGGGAAGTAGCCAGTGCCTGCACTCGAAGGAGGGGGTGTTTAATGTTGCAGTTTTAAAAACTGTAGTGTAAAGCCCCTTCTGGCAAGACATGATGGAGTGAATGCTGGGAAAGTTTTTCTTTTTCGGGGCCCCCCTGCCTTGGGGGAATCGTCCAGTGTGATAATATATAATATATAAATATATAAATATATATATACTATATATATATAAATATAATATATATAATATATATGCAATTAAGATCACAGTAAACAGTGTTTCAGAATATGCAAAACAACTACTCTGAAAAAGAGAAACAATTCCAAGCGCTTTCCGTGACTACTCTCATGTGAAAGTCACGAAAGCGCTTGGAATTTCTCTATTCTTTCAGAGTGGTTGTTTGGCATATATAATATATATATATATATTATAGATATAATACTATATATATATATATATATATATATATATATATAATATATATATAATATATATATTAGATAATATCATATATATAGTTATATATATATATATAATAAATATATAAGGAGGTACCACCTCTAGAACTGTATGGGACCCTCATCCCAGAGAAAAGAATAAACTTGCTTCTGGGAAAACTCAAGATTCACCCGAAGCGTTTGAGAATTTTTCCTCCTACCACCCCCTATATTATGTATATATATTTTAGTTAAAGACAAAATACATTGACAAAACAGTCACAAAACCTATGAACAAAGTAAAACAACATAGGTAACTCAGAGCTCCATCTCGAATACTTCGTCCAGCGCCCCTGCGGTGGGCCGCGTGCCCCTAGAATGCTGCAGGCATTTCCTCTCTGGATCCGCAACACTGAGTCTCTGAAAGGGAAGCTGGTTCGCCCTTTGTCCGTGGTTTCTATGATGAAGCTTTTGTTTCAACCCAGCTCTTTGAGGACTTTATATACATAGATAAAAGATATATATATATTTATAATATCTGATATATATATATATATAAATATTATATATAATATATATATATATTTATAGAATAGATATATATAATATATATATACAATATATAAAGATATATATATATATAATATAATACATAAATTATATATACATATATATACATATAGTTCGCATGCTCCGCGAATTCCTTGCAATTGTTCAAATTCTAGTAGGCTGAATGCATGCAGGGGATGAGATGAAAAAGCTGTAGAGCCTTCTTCTCCCTGAAAGCTGGCTGCCTTGGATCTAACGTGTAGCGGCAGCTACACGCCAGGTATTGGTCCAGTGTGGGTTAGGATTGGTAAAGGCACTGCGTACCTTGTCCAAGATTCGTTAGGTTCGAGTCTCCTTCAGCCAGAGATCAGTGTTTTATACATATATATATATACAATAAATATATATATAGATATATATATATAAATATATATATATATAGAATAGATATTATATTTATATATATAATATAAAATATATAATATATGTATTATTTTATTATCACAATGGCCGATTCCCACCAATGCAGGGTGGCCCGAAAAAGGAAACACTTTTCACCATCATAAAGGTTTTCCTTCTCCGTTTT